GGTGAGTCAGTACAGGCCACTCAGCCTCCAGTTAGAAACATCTTGTTGATAGCCACAGAACAACTTGCTGATATTTTTATTTGGATGCCATGGAATAGGTAGATCAAATCAGGAGGAACTGACATTTTGGCAGTATGGAGTCTTTTTACCCATGAACATGGACTGTCTCTCTCCATTTATTTAGTTCTTTGCTTTCTTTCCTAAAGGCTTTGCAGGTTTCTTTGTATAGACCTTGTACATATTTTGTTAGATTATACATAAGTATTTCATGCAGGATTTTATCGTGGATGCATATTATAAATTTATCCATCCTATGAAATGTTAGACACCGAGAGAGAACTCTGATGTAAACTGTGGACTTGGATGTTAATGGTGAGTCAGTACAGGCCCATTCGTTCTAACAGTATGTTACTCTGGTGAGGGATGCTGATGACAGGGTGTGTAGCAGTTGCAGGTGTATAGGAAATCTTTGTAATCTTTCCTTAGTTTTGCTATTAACCTGTACTTGCTCAAAAATAAGTTTAATTAAAAAATTCATAAGCCAATACATTTTCATTATGTTCTCTCTCTCCAAAAGTTTTCTTGTAATAATTGGTTAATTTGAATATTAAAGTTTTGTTCAAGTGGGAATATTTTATTGTTGAGATAATTATCAATATCCTGTTGCCATGTTTTTGGCCTAAAATTTGAATACAAGCTAAATGTACTTAAACATGTGTTTTCTTTATAATTTCCTCTATTTTTTTAATTTCATGAGGAATATATTGCTCTCCTATATCCAGCAGTTTGATTTGTGTACTTAGAATAGTTTACAGTGTTTAAATTTCTCAATTGTCGATTCAGCTAAAAATCAGATAATATCTGTACAATAAATTATATATAGGAGTTTTATATATTATACATATTGGATTTCCTATATACACATGTACATAGACTGATAAATACAGTGCATGTTTAATTTTTTAAAACATTATAGTAGATGACATATTGCCATTAGTCCCCCTTAAAATATTCCCTTTTGCTTCAAACACATTCATCTCGTTGCTCTTGCCACCTTCTGAAGCATTTCTGGAAATTCTCTTTTGTTACTCTTTAGTTGTGCTGTTATGGCTACTTCCGTGTCCTAAGTAGATTCAACACAAATAGGGTATAGCAATATAGCCATGTGTCCTCCTCCTCCTGTTCACCTGGCATGACACCATGTGACTTCTGGCTCTTCCCCAAAATCAAAATGTCTGTGAAAGAGAAAAGTTTGGAATTGTTTTGAGGGGAAATGGCAATATGTCTTTTACTATAATAAAACTTTTAAACATTCACTGTATTTTTATGAAATACATATAAATTATGATTTGACGAATAAGCACATTCATAGGCAATGTGAAGATGTCCCTCTGTAACTCATGGAATACTGCATGAAAGTGAGTAGGATTTCTACATAATAATAAGGTGCAATCTGGCTAGGTTGTATACAAACTAGTATACTGGAACCATCAATTTCTTACTATGAGACCTTTACCTGTAAACTCTGCCAATTAGAATTTCTCTGTTTTCCATTTTGCTCGATGGATTAATTTTCTGCTGTGTTCAGAGGAATCTGATAAATGTGTTTTTCCTCCTGAAAATACATGCTTGTTTATTTGCTTTATTATTAGACTGGTTCCTCTAATAAATATACTGTAACATTAAAAACAAGGAACAAATTGCATATATAAAGTATGAAATGAAAAACAAATAATAGGAAAGAAAAGAGGAAAAAATTAATGTAACCAAATATGGCCAATGTATTTAAAAGTGTACTTTGTCTTAATAAAGTTGTTTTACATGTTTTATGGCCTATTAGTTTGGTTTTCAGTTTGTATATATATTTAACTTTATAGGCTCTTATAAGATAAATGAATCTGATGCTGGCAAAATAAAAGGTCATGGAGGGAGGGGGAAAAATTAAAGTGTGTATGTGCATGTATGAATTCCTTACAATGAATGTAATCATTATGTACTGCAAACACGTATAATAAATGTTAAAAAATTTAAAAATTTCATATCAGAAAAGAGAATTTGTTTGATTTCAAACTTAATGGTACTTGCAGATAGAGGTTGAGAGATATTGTTTCTTGTTGAATTTTTATCAGTGATCTTATTTTTTAAACATTTTCTGAATCTCTCCTATTGGTTTCCCACTGAAGTTGAAGATTGAGATGCCCGAGGACTTTTGTAAATTGGATCTCTATGTATTGTAGATAGCTAAATGTTTTATAGAAGGGTCAACTGTCCTTATCTGTTTGTTAAGTCAAAGTTACATTTTTATATAATTGGTTCTTTTTTTTTTTTTTGGTACCGGGGATCGAACTTGGGTCTTTGCGCTTACAAGGCAGGCGACGGAAACACTAAGCTAAATCCCCGCCCCATTTTTATATAATTGGTCTAAAATATTTCAGTAAGTAGATATTATTCAGAGTCTTGTGATGATGGGGAGTATAAAATTATAAGTCTTTGTATATTGAAAGTTTAAAATGAAGATTATACTTTATGGACAAAGTATACAAATATACCTTGTATCCCAAATTTGTATCCTGTTTTCTGCTTACAAGATACATGATTATGGTCAACTGGTTTAATTTTACTCTGTGTCTTGAGTGTGAAATTGGAATAGTGATGATAGGACCTACTTCATAAAGTTATTGTGAGAAACTTGAAATCCTCATGACAGTGCCTCATGACAGTATGCATGGTAAGCATTATATAAATATTTTCTGTTATTATTAGCAGTTGGTAGTGGTTTTTATTAGACCTGGTGGCCTATAATTGAAAGTTCCAAGTGTCTTCATTATGTGACTAAGCATAGAATTGCTGTCCTCAATTGTTAAGTTTCTCCATTGTAAGATACAGTAGGACCCAGTTATTGAATCTTTGCGTGGTTCCCATTTATTATTGTTTGTTCTCTTCTGTTAGACTTTGATTAGCAGGGATCACCCTACCAGATGCTGGCCTTTACAGAAATTTTGTAACTCAGAAACCATTCTCTAAGAAGCCAATTAAATCTATCAGATAATATTGTGTCTTGGTAGCAAATAATGAGTGACTTCATTTAAGGATGACCGGTAAGCGAGTAGGGGAAGTATCTAGATGCAGAGTGCTTTGAAATTTAAGTGTGCTCGGGGAAATCTTTCTCTTTATAACATCTCATTTTGAGAATATATTTTCCGCCTTGCTTCCTTGTATTATTTTCTCAATAATAAGAAACACCCTTTTAAAAAGGCTTTAATCAAGTTATTTTTAAAGTTATATATGTGCAGATGGAGAAATTGAATAATTATCTGCCTTTCCAAGCTGCATAAGCTTTCTTAGCCCATCAGGTTACACTTCAGGGATGGAAAGAGTTAATACAGTTTTAAAGATGCCTAATTTACAACCAGGGAGTACCTGAAAGCTCTTAAAGAATTTGACACAATGAGTTAGATCAACCCCAGCTTCATTTCCCTTTAGTTCAACTTAGTAATATAAATAAATACATGATTTGTAATTGTTAGATAGAAGTATTTGAATGCCTCCTAGTGGCATATTGTATACTGTAGTTAAAGAATTTAAAAATGATATTTGTTGAAAGACTGTTCTGATAAACTAATAAAGCTTAAAAATGTAAAATACTAACAACCATTAAGGAGGATATTGCACGTGGAATCAAGACAAATTGTTTTCCATATGAAATTGGTCAAAAACCTCACTGGAAAAAATATAATGTGTATCATAAAGATGAGTATATTTACAAAGAATATGTTTTTGTTTCAGATCAAATTTTTTTCATTTAATGGACCTGTTTTGCACTTAAACATAGACAAGTATTGCTGTTAGTAAGCTTGGATTGCTTTGTGTACATTTATTCTTTGGAATTAAATTAATTATTATCGTGTGTGTTTCAGTATCTTTGTATAATCATAGAGATAATGGGTTTTAGAAAGTATAGCTCATTTTCAGGTAGTTTTAAAAATATTATAATTTTTCAGATTGAATAAAATTATTTAATTGGCAACCATGAAATACAGGCGAGAGCAAAACCTCAAAATGATGAAAATGAATGTTGGTTTAGTTACTACTTTAAATGGTAAAAACCTACTTTCCATGTACTGAAATGTAAGTTAAAGTGGAAAGGCACATGAAAAGAATTCTGATGAGGGTCAGTAGGAGGAAAAAAAAATGACATCCCTTTGTTAAGCATTAAAAATGTTTAATTAACTGCTTGCCAAAACAAAACAATTAAGATGGCAATTACCTTTAAAATAGCAACAATGTAATTGCAGCTGTTGTGAGATAAAGCTAGGAAACAAAATGTTAATCTGGAATGAGCAGTTTAAATATGAAATTATGATATACTTGGCTTCCTGTAGTACAGCTGTCAAGCTTGGGCAGTTCGCTGGTCAATAGTGACATTCTATGTGTCAGTGAACAGAGTCTCTTGATACCCTAACCCGCAGTTCACACATTACTGAAGCTCCAACTGTCGAACATTCAGGTCCCCTGGTATTATTGCAGCTTCCAGACTCTCCTGACTGGCTCATGTTTCATTCTTTGGCAATTTGCCCTAATGATATCCCTCAGGAGCTTTCAGCCTCTCTTCCTTTCCATATTTAATCGTGTTGTATTAATCTGAGTGATGCACAAACTGTACTGTACAAATTGTAATTTCCTACAATATTTTCTAAGATGCTCACCTAATTTTTCAGTTTTACTTTTATTTATGTTCTGAATTTCAACCCAAACTATATTTTCCAGTGGTTATAACTATCTACATATGATTCCCAAGAAGCTACTTTTGCTGTTTATGTATTTTCAGAGGGGCCTGTGAGACATAAGGCTTTTTACAAGTAGAATTGATAAAGACAGTGTGAGCTATGTCATTGTGTAAATTGTTCTGTGATTATCATTCATCTTTGCTACCTTGAACATGCCTTTTTGTTTGGAGGGTCAGCAGCTACTTATTATTGTTATCCTTTTACAAATCCTAGTTAACTGCCTGTCTCCATGGATCGGCTGCTCTGCTCTATCCAATGTACTGGCAACACATATACATCCCAGTGCTTCCTCCACACCTGCTGGACTATTGCTGGTAAGCCGGGTTTGCCAGGCTCTCTTAATAAATCGGGGTTCCATAATTAGGAAAAATATACATTTATTTGTGGATACAGAAAAAAATCACAGAAACTTTCCTTTTAGATTAGCAATAAGTATTGAAGAATGCTCTCGTGAGTGTCAGAGTGGTTCTTTCCAAAGGTAGCTAAAATTTATACTTGGTAAACATGAAATTCTTTAAATTTTGTATTTTATCTGCAGCCATTTAGATAATTAAATGCATAGATGGAAAAATAAAACTTTAGTTTTTGGTTAATAAAATTGAACAGAAGTTGTGGTATTTGTTAGAATATCCCAGGCATCAGAATTTGTCTGGCAAATCTGCCAATAACCGCATTGTGCCTATCAAGGCACACTTTTGTTACTTTTATTTACCTTAAGACTAATGTTCCTTTACTTGTTCTACAGCGCACTGGATACCAAGTACTGACAAAGGGATTACTTCTAATATAAGAATTCTTAAGTTTCTAATTTAAGTCAAAATTTCAGCCTGAAGCCACTATGAAAAGCAATGTTAGAAGTTTTGGGAGTAATGCTGAAGAGCTTCCTGGCAGTAGAAACAATTCTCAATGCTCTTCCCAAATGAATTCAGTCAGGCCACTCTCTGGACCTTATGATAGCAGTTACCAGTGACTTCCCATTCACTTCCCACAGAAGAGTCTTTGCGCTTGCAGTGAGGCTGGACAGGAATTAGACTCAACATACAGCAGCTTTGACAACTTCCTTAGGCCTGATGGGTGCAACGTTGTCTCTGTTGCACAGTCGTCTTCTGTAGGCATAGCTCAATCTGTAATGAGTTTGATGAGATTTTTTGCCCTCTAAACCATGTGTGAAGGACATCATTTTGATCTTACCATATTTTCTTTTATCTATAATGGCTAATTTTAGTAAAAACAAAAAAGCTCTTCTTTAACTTTTTATTTCATGAAAAACAGATTAAAGTGTCAAAATGATTTAAATGTACACATACAGGAATTTATTAGGTCAGAACGAGTGACTCTAATGACAGGGCATGTACTTGGCCACATATTGATTATACTGCTATATTGTGTTTTTCCACAGTATTGATAATGCTGTGAAAAAGGTGTGCAATGACCTGCCACTGCTATTTTGCCCTTGGAGAACTAGAAAGGAAAGCCAGTTTGTCAGACTATAGGAATGTGATTTAATTAAACAAGTTTAAAGTAAAGCTTAATTTAATTAAACACAAGTTTAAGTAAAGCTAGATCTATAAATAGGCTTTTCTGATTTTCACTGTGGAGATTTCCTTTAACCAACATGTCCACAATATTTTTTTTTCTCCAATATTTTATGATACTTGAAGGCAGAGGCTGCAATTTGTTCATGTTGACATATGCAGTATATCTTTACATGGAGTGTTTAGTAATTAAAGTTTATTTTAATATTTTTACAAAAGTATTTGAAAACATATTGTATACTGTTTAAAATATATGTCAAGTTTGTGTTTCAAGACCTAAAATTTCTAATTATGAGGTCAAGAATTATATATTATCATATTATAATGTTAGTGCCATCTTAATTTTTCTATAAAATGTTCTCAACTCTTAAGTAAGACACCTTTCAGCTCATTTCTCTGTAATGCATGTTCAGGATGTTCTCAAATGTTTCTTAGAAGCTATACACTGATCCAGGCAGTACTGCACTAATTCTTTACAAAAGTGTCTTTGTGCTACTTTTTTTTTTTTTTGGTTATCAGGAATTGAACTCAGGACCTTGCAATTGGTTATCAGGAATTGAACTCAGGACCTTGCAAGCACAATGCACTGAGCTAAAATCGCTGGTCCTTCTTTGTGGTACTTTCTATGCCTGTAATCAGATCTTTCTTTTCTACTGTTTCTATTATAATGAAAGAAGCATCTTCTGTGTTGCAGTTCCTGGAATCTTCTTTCCTGTTCCAAAATATTTTAAAATAAATATTTCCTGAAAAAGCCTTTAAGACAAGTTCCGCAGCCTCCATGTTTGGCATGTCTGAGCCAGAGAGTAGATAAGTGGTGCCTAAACAAGAGCTTCTGAAACTTTTTGTGCCTAAGGTTTACAATGGTAGGTTCAGTTTCCAAAGAAGCAGTTAAGACTGACTCTTCCATTGTTAGAAAGTTTGATGAGCTAAACAATTTTTCTAGAAAAAATGACTCTCTTCCCTTTGTGTCCTTGAGGTTAGAATGAGATGAGTATAGTTCTGTCTATTCCATGGCGAGAAAAATCTTACAGATTTTCTCTTTAATCTCATAGTGTTTGAATAAATAATATTTTTTTACCCTAATTCAAAATAGTACCACAAAGCCTTGTTAGGAGTATATGAATCTTTATGAACCTCTTGGGATGATTGGAACATTCCAAATTTGAGATAATCCTAGTTCGACAGAGTATTTCTATTTTTGCACCCAGTAACCCTGGTGAGGTGTAGACTGCAGAGAGCCATAATGCCATCTTGTGACCACAGATGGACATCGCATCTTTGTCCATGGATAAGCCTTTCTATTTTGTTGCTCTGTGCGTCCATCCATTTGTTCATTAACATTTAGTGAACACCTATTTGCCACCCTGCGAAGATGTGATGCAGTGATGGAGGCTTCTTGCCCCTGAGAGATTCACATATAGGAAGAAAAACATACGTAATGATACGTACCTGTGCTGATATGGTACCTACACATGCACAATAACAGAGAGTAATTCTGCAATACCGTAAGTACTGTAGGAACCATGAAAGAGCCACGAATGGAAAGACAGGAAGAAGTGGCTCACAGTCTATGAAAGGTTAGGAAAAGCTCCTGGGAAGAAGTCACATCAATTGCATTTTTCCTTTAATGAACAACAGAGTAGAGTAATTTGGCAAGTCTGTGACATTGCCAGGTTCTGTTGAGCTGTCTAATTCTGTAAACTATAAGAGCTGATGTGACAGCAGGATTAGTGAAATTATAATAGATTATTGTTTGTTTAGGGAATAGTTACATCAGTCTTTTATTTAGTGTATATATTGTCTTTCTATGAAACAATCAGATTTAGGTTCTAAGAACAGGCTTTAGAAAAATAAATAGAAAATTGGCATCTGGGATTACTTTAATAGATTGTCCTTACAGTCTCTGTCACAGGGGTCTCTTTGTAAGAAAAAAAGAAAAGCTTTCTTGAGTAAAGATTAATTGCTGTCAAAGAGAAGAAGTCATAATAGAGCCTTCTATATCCCATCATTTGAAAATAACTTTACTGATGGAAAGATCTAGGGCAGTTTTGTACATGGGTGATAAAACATCTATGTTGCTAAGGGCCCTTTCTTGATTTATTTACACTGTAGTTTAATTAGGGAATTTCAGCTGGGGTTGCAAAATTAATTTTCATGAGATTTGGCTTATTTTATGATAGGATATACACAATCCAGTGTGAAAAGACAAGAGACACCTATACAATTAACTTTATAGTCTGCACAATATCGTTATTTTAGAAAATTATGGTATAGATTAATAATATTTATACTTCAAACATTTATATGTTGGATTTTTCAAGAAATCTGTGAGGAAAAACCACATGGAGATACCCAGTAATTCCATTAAAATTTTTCCAGTGATTTTATTATTAAAGTCTGGATGGGAGCTTTATCTTGAATTTTAAATTCTAGCTTAAGAATTTCTGTAAACTCATTGTTTACATTTCAAAAGATAAGCTTTGGTAAACTTTTAAGGATTATTTTGTTGGTGTATTTCCTGGGATTTCAATAGATCAGTTAGCAGTTTCGGCTATCATTTTATGAAATTTTGACTTACCATGTCCCTCTAACATCTTGAAGATGGACATACTATCATTTTTAGAAGTTTGATACATTTTGATGAACACTCTTCTATGAAAATGTGCTTTGGAATTTGAGATACCATGGGGTTCTCTGTCTTATAAATCTTGTGGTAGAATATCCTAACCAAGAGTGGAAATTTCCACAGTAACCTGAATAATTTTATACTGTTTTGGATGTTTGGAGGGCTTGACATATTTAAGACCCTGGGAGTTGCCTAACTTGTTTTGTGAAAATTGCCCAAACTTGGCAGTGAGAGACTAGAATACTGATATGCATTTTATGTCTTCTCTGGAGTCCCAGAAGGAATCCCAAGATGAGACCTTGAACTAGGAAAGTAACCAGCCTTTCTTTACTTACGCAAAAATGGAACAGCCCACATGTTTTACTCCTGTTTCCTTTAGAAGGCAGAAAATCTGTTAGGTCTTAAGGATATCAAGGGCTATAAATAAACCTCAACTTTCAGTCAAATGAAGTATCCCAGAATATCAAATCCATTCCAGATGGTCTGTTGCATAGAAATTAAGAAATAGGAAAGAGCAGAGTTACTAAAGGCAAAGAAAACTGGGGATTAAAATGTAGTACAATAATAAGTAATAAACTAGAATGTACAGGCTAGTGAACATTTGTTATTCAGATATATAGGCCGCCATTTCCCCATCCTTGAATAAATTTGAAATATTTTCAGATTACTTTGAAATCTAGAGTGTTCAAGGTGCTTATTAGTTTCATCTGTTAGTGATTCTCAGTAACAAAGTGAACATGTAGAAGTTTGGCAGCTCTGTTTTAATAATGATAATGATGTTTTGAAAATTATGCAAATCTTTTGAAAAAGAGGATTATCTCTTTGAATTAATAGAAAAGGTTTGCAGTAGTAAACAAAGATGTCTATGAAGGAATTGCCCAAAACATTTCATTTTTAAATAGCTAATTGTTCACTTATCTTCTGTCACCTTTTTTAGACAACTGTCCATTCTCATGTTATCCTGGTTGAATAATTTCCTAGCAGATATTGCTAAGATTACTAGTAATTCAGATTTATCATATTTAAATCACTTTATGTGTATATTCCCTGCTAGAATATAAGTCCTACAAGAAGTTATATCCCATCTATATTGCTAATTAGTCTTCCCAAACCCCTGTCTCAAGGACTGACATGCATATGTTCTAAGTATCATGTTTTGAATTAATTCAAATCATTCTCACACAAATATTTTAAATGTATTATATTTTTATTAATATCAGTGAAAGTGAAATAAATCTGAATTTATAAAATATAATAAAGGATGATGTATGTATGCAAGGAGAAAGATGGCACGGTAATGGAGGAACTTTCGTATTTTTGTACCTCTAGTTCAGTGCCTCATACACAGTCATGACTGGTGACTAGCTCATAAAGTATTTGGTGGTATAGTAGGTATAAATTAATAGCATTTACTAAGAAAATCTTTAAGAGTCTAATGAATAAGAGAAAAAAGAAAAAAGAAATGCAAATATATTTGGTGATTATTTAGGATATATTTGCTACAAAGTATAAGGAAAAGATTTAACTCAGACTATGGCCTCAATCCTACTTTTATTAGATAGAAAATGTTGTTTAGGCATTATAACTCTTGATTTTATTATAAATTACTTTGTGATTTTTTTTCTATATAATCCAATTGTAAGTATAGTAATGGCCTCTAGGATTAAATTTGACTACCTGTTTGAATATTTATAATTTTGAATATCTATTATGTACTATGCTGGAACTGAGCCTTTAATAAATTTAATTTTTAAGTATTTAAGCAACTTATTACTTCACTTTTAATGAACTATATGAATCTATAAATATTTATTTATATTTTGATTTAGTGCCCCAATGCCATACCTGGTCGGAATACACTCCAGCCTCTTAGAGGTGAGTATTTTTGAGACAATGAGATAATAAAATTGATACATTAAAAAACAACACTTCAAACAGTTTTGTTTGAAGACTATCAATTCTATAATAAGCAGTGATAAATTTCATATTTAGGATGTACTTAGTCATTTTCAAAAGGTAAAATTTAAATAATTTAATTTTAATTAGTATATAAATAATCATTTTTTATAGCAAGAAGCCCATGAAAATAATTATGTTTGGTAGAAATCATATGGTAAGTATTAACTACTATGAGTTTTAATCCTTGATAAACCACTTTTCTTTATGGCAACTTGAGATTTCTTATTTCTCTTTTTCAGTACTATATTATGAAAATCAAAGTTTACATAAGATTTGCAAAATGGAACATTTTCATTTTATAGATTTCATTATTTTTCTTATTCAGGAGCTTTTTTAAAGCATAATTTTATCCCACTTTTTAATTAGAATATAGTTTTTTTGTTGTTTTAATTTTCAGTCCTATTGGAGAATGTAAAATTTAGTAATTTTTTCCATTTTTATCACATGGTTCTAAAATAATTTTTGTCAAAGTTATCATTTTGCTGGAAATCCTTGAACTTGAAGCATCTTAAACTTGAAATCAGTGAGACTACCAGACAGAATGTCTTGTAAGATTAACATCTAAAAAGTAAACAAAAGACTTGTATTAAAGCAGAAGATCTGGATCAATTGAGTGGCATTATGCTGGCTGGCTTTGTTTTACTCATATGCATTTGTCTTTTTGCTGATTGTGCAGAGAAACCATTTGACAAAATTTTTAATAAGCAAGTTCTGGGTTAGGGTGGTTTTCTTATTAGTTTCTGACATTGTGTGCATCATTGATCCTTTATTGAAGTATTGATATAATATATTTTAAAACCCCTTAGGATAATATTTCGACTCATGTCCCTGAGAAAGAATTAGGTTATAGAATTCTACCTGTGCTGTAATTTCAGACATGTTTTTTTTTTTTTTTGCAAAATACTAGGGCAATATTTTTGTTTCATCATTAATATAGAATATATTTTAATGACTTTTTAAGTGATTTTGTTTTGTTTTTCATATTGAAGTCTATGTTGAATAACTTTAGGACTCCTTGTATTTTATTCATTTTTTAAAGGAAACTTTTTGGGGGGGCGTGCAGGGGATCGAACTCAGGACCTTGCACTTACAAGGCAGGCATGGTGCCACTGAGCTAAATCTCTGTCCCGAGGAAACTTACTTTTTATAAGCCAAAGTATTTATAGTGAAAGCATAAAATATATGAAATGAAGCATGAACAAATAGGTATTTGATACATTGTTAGACCATGCAATACATACATCACTGTCATTTTATCAATTAGTTGTTGGACTTCATATAAATTTAAAATGTGTACGGTTGAATTTTTTTTGAAAGTCATAAAATTTGACTTTTATATTATGGTAGTACATAGCTACATTTACTGTGTATGCTAAGATACATATTTTTATAAGGTACTTATAGAAGTAGAAAATACTTAAAACTTTTGGTAGTACCTCTTAGTGTTATAGTGGGGGATACGTATTTACATATGTGTAACAATTTTACACTGACTTTTAAAAGAAATAATTTGGTTTTTCTAAGCATCTATAGAAAGGGGTAGAATATTTTAAGTATTTAATTGCATTTATCACATATTTATTGGCTACTTATAGAGAAATCCATCCAGTACTACTTTTTTAAGGAGCACATTTAGGAATTTTTGAAAGTAAAGTTGGGGAAATTTTAAATTGTCATAATAGCTTGGCTGAAACGCTGTACTTTTTATAACCCAGACTTATCCAAGTATGTTTTTTTTTCTTTTTATTGAGGTTATTGGTACAATCTAGGTATACAATACAATTACATTCATCATTGGAATTCTGTACCTTTACATAATAGGTCTTGATCGTAATAGTTGGGTTATTGGTTCATCTGGTTTAATAGTGAATGGGATGCTATACTTGTCACTTAGGAATTTCTTTAAACTGAGTGGGTATCATTTAGTAACTTTCTTCTTAACGCGTTACAAGATAATATTCTGCAGTTCCATTCTTATTACTAGATAGGTTTTTTGAACTGAGATCTCTATCTTTTGTGCTTTTTAATCTTATAATAAATATCTTCTTAAAATATGGATGGAACTACTTAGTTAATATATCGAGTAGAGCTCAGCAATTTATTTACATTGTTTGGCAGTTTACAGCTAATTTTTTTCTAGGAAGAATAAAAATATTTTATTCTTTCTCATGGCTAAGAAAATTTCAACATCAATGTTTTTGGTACCAGCGATTGAACTCAGGACCTTGCGCTTGTGAGGCAGGCATAGTGCCACCAAATTAAGTTGCTGGCCCTCAACATCAGTTTTTTTAAACATTACTTTTATTGTCATTAAAGTTTTTATTACTATATGTTATTGGTACATAATGACTGTATTCATCATGTGGAATTGGTAAACATACAGGTACATTTTGATCCTTTTAATTCCCATTTCTCTGTCCTCCCTCTCGTATCTCTCATTATTAGTTCTATAAACACTAACAAGTGTAGTTGTTCCAGTCTTCTTTGAAATCTTCCTTTCGTTTATTTTTGTGAATTGTAAATAATGGATGATGAGGAATATCTTTAAAAAATATAAATTTGCTTTCAAAATAAAGGAAGAGGACATTTTGTTCTCCCTGAAAGCTCTACTTTAGGGATGAACTCAAGAAGACTAAGGCATATAGGTGATTAAGAATAAATTAATAGAAGCTACAAATATGAGGTTCATGCTTTTTTGTTTTAATATACAAAGGATTCTAAATGAAATGTCGGCCCAGTTTTTTAAGTTCACATGATTGTTGCCACTGACTGTATCATTTCTTTGCATCAGTGAGCTTAATGTGTTTGTACCCAGAACATATGGAAGGTTGAATACAGAGAGAAAGGAGTTGCTAATTCTAGCATCTTACTGTTGTTCTTAATAAGCCTTTCAGTCTGTGTACAATGATATTTTCTTATTTTTGAAGAAAAGAAGGCTATTTTTTCATATTCTGTCATATTTAATTTTAATCTCATAACAACATATAAAGAACGGAGATTCAGAACTATGAGACAGGGAAAGGGGGTGCCATTTGTGACGTTCCATGTGTATTTTGAAAAAAATATCAAAAGCTTAATTTTGAAAGAAAAATAGATAAGATACTGATAATAAATTGTATACGCTTTTTCCCCCCTTTTTTGCTGATGAGCTCTAATATTAGGGTGCTCCCAGTCTAGTAATTAGAAATGAATGTTTTTCTATTCTTATTGAATTATGCTTTGAACAAAATTTAATATTCAGATATTATCTAACTATAAAACTGGAAGCAATTTTGAAAAACAAAACACATTTCATATGAATACCAATTTATTTAGACTTTAATGCTAGTATCACCACTAAAAACCTTGTGTGCACATAGCTTTTAATCCTGGCTATTTAGCTGAATTCATGTGTTCCCTTAAACATATAACAAGCTCCTGAATTATCTTTATAGTTTCTTATATAAAGACAACTTAAATAGGAAGATATTGTAGTTATGACATACTTATCCCATAAAACGCCATTAGTGTAGGTATAATTTTGCTTTTAAAATATATTATTCTTGTAGTTATATTAGTTAATTTATATATAACCTCAGGTTTATATACTTACATGTTTTTACATATGTATATACATAGAAAGTAAATGAATATATTTACAAGTTTTTGCAGTACTATTAAAAGTATCACTAGCAATGATTTTCTTCTAATGTCTTAGAAGTAGCAGTCTTTTTAAATCTTACTTTACAATAATTACAATGTTTTCTATAAGATAGATTTTTAGAATCATTGTTTTCCTCCTATCTTCATGGTACATAGTTATTTCTTAAAACATAGAAATTCCCTTTCATAGATTATCATTTCCTTAGAAAATTTAACATTCCTCCAAATATGAAGAAATCTAAAATTGTGAATGGATCAGAGAAACTTTAATTAATACAAAATAATTAGATGAGTCACTTTAAGATTTAAAGTATTTCATGATATTTAGGAATAACTATTATTCTGTGAAGACACTTTACAAATATTGCATTAAACTAGTTATTGATCTATTACTTACTGACCTGTACAGTTATAGATTTCTAAATTCATGGATATGATCCATTAAGAAAACATTGCTTATCACTGAGGAATAATACTATTTGATATATTTTAAATGAGATTAAAGTAATTCAATAGTTTAAGTATATGCTAATTTAAAAGGACAATTAACCATATTTTCTTTATTTAAAAATGAAAAATTTGATAAAATTAAAATTTGTGGACAAAGTGAGATTCTTTGTTTTGACTGTGTTTTCAAATATGTAAGGCAAGAGAGTCAATCTAATAGACTATTAAATTTAATTATTTACATTGAAATTTATGGGAGAATATTGCTGATAATAAATTCCATATTACTACCCTCTCTTTCTTTCCTCTTATTCCACTTTTCATCCTCCTCATCTATTCATTTAAAATATAGTTAAATACTTCAGTATGATTATTGGATTATGTTGTCCTTGCAGTATGACTTATGCTAAAATTGGGTGTAGAGCTGGGCACAAATTCTTGTATCATAGGATTGGTATTGAACTGACAAATTTTAAAGCCTCCAATTTTTTACACTTTGGTGCAAAAGTGCCTACTTTATTATAAGTCTTGGTTGTGCTATCTCTTTGGTAGCTAAATTAATTCAATTCAGAATCAGATTAACAAATGTTCTATTTTTGACAATTTTGTCAAATCTTTTTGAGTGGATTATAATCAAGCTAAAACTGTTTATATTTTTATAATGTCAAATTTATTTTCAAGTTTATTTTCACAAACTTTGTGTGTTCACATAATTTTTGTGTTTCCAAGCTTTTAGTCTTCTAAGGGAAATAATTTTATGAATAATAAAAATTTTTTATAATTGTGTTTTTTGAACAGAGAGTGAAAAATAAATCATTGGAAGATGTGGTTATGTTAAATGTTGATACAAACACTTTAGAATCACCATTTAATGACTTGAACAACCTACCAATTGATGTGGTAAGTCTGAAGGCTTTTTGGCAAACATAATATATTTTCTCACGGACCCTTGAGTTTCTAACAGCTATTTTTCCTACTTTCATTTGAAATAAAAGGGTTGTGTATGTGCAAGAGGTGTGAGAGGAATCAATATAGGTTCTATTTTTAATATTTTTGCCTTTTGGCAATGGAGGGGATGTTGAATGGAACATCACATTCCTTATTGTAAAAGTAGGATCATAATTAAAAAGCTAGATGCATTCATTAGGCAGAGTTTCTTTAAACGTAAGTCTCTTCATCTCATCTTAATCATTATATTACAAAGTAGGCATTTCTGTCTGCCTGGTGGCATGTCTTGCAAAAGAATGAGAGAGTTTTTGAAGGCAAGAAGAAGAAGGGGGCCAATTATCGGCTTTTGCTTCCCTGCCACCTGCCAGCGCTTTTCCTTTTAATTAATGATCTGATGGCACTGGTCAATATAATAAGAAATGCTTGTACAGTTGGGGTCAGAAAATTCTGGCTTTGATCTCCCTCAACTTTCTGAAACATTTATTTGTTTTCTCTAAATTATTTCAGTTTTATTTTAATCTTTTCTATCCTGCTGAGGGCTGCAAGAATGAAAACCTACACTGTTTGTCATTTGCTTGGCAGAGCAAAGACTGCTTACTTAGAATTCTATTTGTAAATTAAACTGCAAACCCAGTTTGTCATAAAAGACATCTGATCCTTTTGAAATGACGAAAACTCTTTTGTCTGTAAAGGCTGATAAATTAAGTGCCAGTTCTCTTTTGGTCTTTGATCTTGCAAAGGGTTTGTGTGTGTGCGTGCATGCGTGTGGACGCGTGTGTGTCTCTAGCTCATAATGGGACTGGATTTCATGTTAGTTGCAAAAATACATTTTTTGCCTTAATTTTCTTTGGTATAGGCAGAAGTGCAAACTAGTTATATTTCTGTAAATAGTGTATTTAATGACTACATAAATACATCTATATAATAGTTCTAAACTAAAATAGCTCTCTTTAAAAAATAAAAGCATCCATTTCTTAAATGAATGCTAAAAGTAGGGGATTTCAAAACCCTCTAAATATATTTTTCATTGTATTACAAGTACCCTGAAATTCATCATTAAAGAGTTTGAGAAAGTGAATTTAAAAGTCTCAATTTCAAAAACATACAGCAATACTAGCCTTGATTGTTCTTATGGCTAATGATAAAATATGATTTCAAAGTAAAAGGTTATTTGTGCCCATAAATACCCTAAATACTTCTTGACCTTGAAGTACATTAAACTGAACTGCTTTATCTTGCTTTAGAAAAATTTATGCTAGGTATGAACAAACACAAACTCAGGCAAATGAACAATTACTGTATTCTCTTTTTAGTTCATTATAGCTAGACTGCCTCCTTCTAAAATTGTGCAGAAACTGCTAGAAATGATTATTCATTTAGAAATCTCTCAAAGTATTCTGCATAGAGAAATAATTATGAAAATAGCATCCCAACTTTTAAGAATATTTTCTTATGTGTGTTTCGTGCTGTTAGTGCCTTGAGAAAGGATTATTAAAAATAAATAAGAAATAAAAAGAGAAATTCAGCTTTTTTCTATATGATGTTAAAAGTTTATAGTCAGCTTCAAGAAAGGGATTTTTTTGTTTGGTAATTTTTAAATTCAAAAGTATTGTAAGATTAACTTGGTACATAAGACAATTATTTAAATATGTGAGAGAGTTAAACGCTATTCACAAAACATAAATTTAAATACATAAAATGACAGAAGAGATCATGTAGTTTAGCCATAAGCAATGTCTAAGTAAGCATAGCTGGGATATTTAAAAATTAGGTAAAAAGAAACATTGAAACATAACGTAGATTGATTATGTAGATGCTTGAAATTGAAGACCACAGACATATATTCAAATATGAATACTGAGCAAATCTGTCTCAGAGATGGAGTTCATATTTTTGTTAAAAGTATGAGATGTTTTAAAATTATAGTAAGTATTCTAAAAATAGGTGATTTTTCAATTCATCTGCAATAAATTTAGCTTTCTCATCAGTTTTCCAAGGCTGTCTCTTATTGTTCTGGAAGAAATATAATGAAGTACCACAGCGTGTTTGTAAAAATGGCAAATATTTTAAATGAGATGTGTTAAAATCACAAATGACCTTATTGAAGTTTTGTGTGTGATTTGAGTCAATAACGCACACTGCAGTGCTGAGAAATATTGCTATTGGTATTGTTTCATTGTTTAATAAGTTAACTGAGATTTAAATGAAGGGCCCTTTAAAATCATCCGCCGAAGCATTTAAATTATGCTTACAGGCTAGATGACTCTCTAGGCATGTGCACTCTATTACTGCGTCACCTTGTCCAGTGGTCTTGGCTGTCCGGAGGTCATCGGTCACAGTTGTCCTGAATTACTAGTTCTTTTTTCCTGTGGACCCTCTGCTGTGTTGCATGCTGTAATCTTCTTAATGGCTTCATTCCGATATTCACACATAATATTTTAGATTTATTGACTGTTAGAAATACTACCAGGCCAGTAGCAGTTCCGCTACTCTTAAGGTATTTAAAATTGGAAAAATAAATCAGGGCGAAGCTTTCAAGAATCCTTTGTTTTCCTTTAGGGAGGGGGGAAAAAAATCTCTTCCTGTCTTCTGACAAGAACACTAGTTTGTTGATTTCATCATTTCACTATAGATTTGTATTATTAAAACAAATAAATATTTTTATTAGAAGTTTTAGTGATATTGATGATTACATTATATAACATTTAAAAGTAGTAGATGCATTAAAATATACTTCTGTTTTTGTGTGTGAATATATTTGACTGTAATTTTACTGGCTATGTAAAGACATCTTCAAACATGTAGTTTGAACGATTTGAAGTAAAATAGATTTTAGGGCTAAGTAAATGTTAATCACATAGTGTTTTGGTATGTTTATAAAGAAGGGGAATAAAGAACCACTTGAATTAAATGTAACATTTGAAACCTCAGATGTTCATTTTAAGAAAACAGACTATTGAAACTTCCCATTCCAAATATATACACAAATTTACTCTTGATTACATAGTAATTTAAAAAGTACTTCTGAGGTATTACTGCTCATCTGAATTTTTATCATCATTAACATTTTCCATTTTTAAAAATAATAAATAGGATAATCCACTTACTGGAAATTAAACCTGTAAGTAGAATTCTATAACAGTATTCAGGAAATCTATCCTCACATGTATGTTAAAGTAAACACAAAGTAACTCAGTGCTTAACTGTCTTTAAATAACTTTAACTCATTAGATTTTTTAAAATAACATATTCTGAAATAGGTCCCAATGCTTATCCCTCTTTTAGATAAGAAAATCAAGACACAGAAAATACGTTGCTATTAGTATAATTAAAACTTTAGTTCATACACATTAGTCTCAAACCTATGCCCCAACACTAAACTATGGTCCCTGTCATATAAATCTGCTATATAGTATAGCAACATTTAAAATTTAGTGTAAGCCAGGCATGGTGGTGCACACCTGTAATCCCAGCAGTTGGGAGGCTGAGGCAGGAGGATTGCTGTGAGTTCGAGACCAGCCTGGGCTACATAGTGAATTCCAGGTCAGTCTCAACTTCATAGTGAGACCCGGTCTCAAAAAACAAACAAACAAACAAACAAAAAAATTTAGTGTAGAAACTTATTTGCCATTATAATCTTGTTAAGGAAATAGCAGCATGATGTATTTGATTTAAATTATCACCACTGTGTTTAAAATTTCATCTTCATTTTGTACATAATATTATTTGAAAAGAATTTTCTATTTTTTTTAGTATGTATTCAAAATGTATCATATTTAGGAATACAGTTCACTGTAGATCACAGTATTTAATAAGATAATGTTTGCTATAAAGCATTTTTAAATACTAAAACATTAGAAAGTCTTATTGAAAATGCTATGCATGTTTTAGTGAACCTTTCAAGTATTATATGAAGGAATATGTTAGTGATTTCACTGTGAAATGAAGAGCACAAATTACTTCAAATCACCAAAATTATATAAGCTTAAAAAATGGGAGAAAACCCGTAGAATTTTGACTTTACATAAGATTTTTTAGATACCTACAATCAAGTGAGCTTATTAGGAATGTGTTTTGAAAAGAATTCAATCAACTTTTTAAAAATTAAAGAATATAAACCAAATTCTTAAGCCATGCAAATTGTCAATGGATATATTTAGTTCCCTGAATATTTCCTCTAATCTAAAATGAAAGTTCACCATGTTAAATGTCATAATATGTGTTATAAAGAATAAAAAGGCCCCTGAGAAAATTTTATTAGTTCCAGGTTTGCTACAGTCTGCCATGATCCTGTAGTGTCTAATGATAAGTGAGGTCCCTAACAAATTTCTAGGATGGCCGTGTTAGAAAAATAATACAATTTTATCCAGCGTATAGCAAAGTTTGCAATCCATTTTATTTAGTTTTTAGGGCAGACTTCGGGGAACAAATTGTGCATTCAGTTTATCCCTAGAGCAGTGTAGTCCTGCGCAGATGATTTCCTTCTGGGTTTGTTGCTGTTAGGATTCGGGCATCTGGCTGTGCACTGCCCCCACCACACAGCCTTCATGCAGCAAATCGTAATACCGACTGTTGGTAGACATTCAGTAAGTGGTTGTGAAAGGGAAATAAGATTGCACTTATTTTATCTTTTGTAATACAAATTTTCTTTTAAAATTCTCTGTTTACAGTTATCTCCCAGAATATTTTATAAGGGTATTTTTATTTGACTTTCATCATAATGAAAAGAGGAAACTTAGTTCACATTGCCAATTATCTCATTAGCATCTTGAGTACTATTATAGTTTTTCACACCAGAGAAACTATTCGGTATTTACACATGTGTGACTTATTTATTTCACTTTGTGAAATAGGAAGAAAGGGGCTAAAGGTGTAGGGAAAGTGGGAAGGGTAGGGGAAAGGTAATAAGGGAAAAGAAAAAAATGTGAGAAAACGAAAAGATGGAAATAAAG